TCTTAACAACACAATGTGTAACTTTGAAATGGCCTACAACAAAAACTGCACCTATACTCACTGTGATTGTTTTAATGGCAATTAATTTCGTTTGTGTGTCAAATAGCAAGCCTGAGAGAAAACTGGTCACTTGTTTATTTTGCGTTTATGTTCCTCATATTTCCTTAGATCAATGAACCTACTGTATCATTAAGTTTCTTTAACAAGAGCACTAGCGAAAATTTCAGTTCCAAAGAACGGCAGATTTGGTGAGACGTCACTACAAAAGTTTCCACTTTATTTTTGATCATCCATTACACATCCATTTTGTGCGTGGTACACAATGCCATATACTAAAAAATCCTGTGTTTTTTAAAGATTTTCATTACTTTATTTCAGCACAGTTTGCCATACAGTGTGCAACACTACCGTTTTCAGAAAGTACCTGATGTTATCCAGCGTTACAGTGTAGAAACGTGAAACTACAATGATGTTCTGAATTCCTGTCTTCACACTAGCACGTCTTTAATCTTCTCTGATATTTTTTTTTCAAAAATACTGAATAACTTTCAAAAAATAAAAACTGAAACTGTTCATTTGGTTTCACTATTCTTCTTGTTATACATTAAATTGTTTAAATAAAAGACGGAACACAATATGTACAAAACGTTGATACTGTACATCCGAGATCAACTCTTAACAACTAGGCGTACTTCAAAAGGACACTCACGGATACTGATACCGTCAGAAAACAAGGGAGAATGAATGACGATAAAAGATAATAAATGTATTCTGTTCACTGCTTTTCTTTAAAATACAGTCACGTATGTGTTCTGGAGCGCTGTATAATCCAAACAGCTTGCTTAGTCCACAGACTCTTTCCTACCTACTAACCATGTTTGCGTCACTGAGCTCGTTGACTATTTCTTAAGGCTCGATATGACTTCATCCTTTAACTGACACTCCGATACACATTCACTCCATAACTACAGTGCAAAATCGACAGGCGGTCCATGTCTCTGTGCTCTCCAAACAGAGCGATCCTAATGCTAAGGTAAACATCAGATTTTATAAGACAACCTGACCTAGAGGAGAGAATGGCAAACCTGTCTGATCGGCTCAGTAGCCCATAGCACATAGAACCAAATCAAATGCCTGATTAAAACGTCCCTCGTATGGCTTCGTTTTAGCCGCATCTTTGTCGCAAATAACGTCTACGGAGCTCTAAGGGCAAAACTGCTTAATTTACCCCATACATTTGCCACATAAAACGAATACCACCGGTTGCATGCATTATCCCTATTCGTGCGTTAGACAGCCTTATGTGGTCAAATTTTCAGAGTCACCCAGTCTGATTTTGAATACTTGATTTCTTATCAGTCGTAACTTTCTCCATATATTATATGGATTTGACTTACCTGTATTGTATCTGGACATCTAGGGGAAACAAATTCGTTTTTTAAGTGTTGTCGAATTTTGTTACTCAGTGGTTTTCGTTCATGTTTATTTGGTTAATAAATACTTGCTTTGACACGGAAGAGCGGTGAAGTATCGTGAGCAAAAACTCACGTTTACCAGTAAAACAACCCCCACTTGTCTCAGAGAAAGGAATACAAACAGTTAAAACAAACTAGCTGGTGCAAAGGATGTACTGTAGCACGACCTCACCAAAGAAGAGGATTGGGCTACGAAGGCAGTCATTAGTAATTACAAGTTTGCAATATAAATTAAAAAAACAATGTTTCGATATAACAATGAGAGGGCATTCCGTTTCCTCTCACCATCAAAGGACGAGCTGCAGTTCAGTTCACCCTTCGAGTTCAGCGGGATAGATGCCTTGCAAATAATTTTCTACATGAGGTGACTGTAATGCGTTTTTAAAATGCAGTGCGAGATGTGTGCATTCCACAAGAGGCTTTTATGTTCCAAAGCTGATACCAAAAGAAAACCTTAAAATGCTACAGGAGACAGAAAAACGTATATTTATAACCCAAGTGCTTGTTACTTATGCTTTATGGAAACTCAGTGTCTCATAAATTTCCGGCTGACATGCATATATACCTTGTAATAATCACGTCGTGTAAAATATAGGTAGCTAGGCTCCATACTGTTGATGGAAATAAAGGGATGTGACTCTGCATCATGATTTATTCTTTCTTTGTTTACAAGGTCATGATCATTTTTATTAAAATGTTATAAAAAATCTCCGTGTGCATCCACTTACCATATACTCCTTGGCAATAAATGCCTTCCAGAAACACCGTGAGCAGCCACAAGAGACCGAAAACTAAATCCATCTTTACGTTAATGTCAACATATCCAGCTCGATGATGACGGGTCCTTCCTGAGGCAAGAGGCTGCGAGACAGAACTCGAATCCCGGCTTATATCACAACGAGCTTCCGCTGATAAATCAAGGTTCTGTCTGCAGAGAGGTAAACGAATTTAAAAAAAAAGACGTAAAAAAAGCAAAAGAAACACGTATTATGCTCACCAACCGATGTCAACTGAAATTTGGATTTCTGAATTGTTTAAAACGATCAAAAAAGCAGGTGTGCTCGCAAAGAAGCGAAGAATTCACAGTGAAAAAAATATTTTGCGGGTGGCACACCAATCGCAGAGCTGAGTGGGCTTTTTAATGCAGATCGAAACAGGGGGAAAAAACAAGGTCTTTTCGTTCAGATGCATTAAAAGTAACTCTAGAAGCGCCCCGGAGGATAATTCAACAAACACGCTAGATTGCAGTCCCGCAATATCCACTGGCATCCCTGTTCACCAATTCCATCAGCTGCCATTGCTATTGCAAAACCATCCAGATCCTGCAAGCCTTAGTCCGTCTTAAGATCCGCTGAACTCTCACATAACAGAGCTTGACTTTTGCCTTGCCTTAATATTTTTCGTTGCTCACGGCAACTCGGCGGACGGGGAACGCAAGGGAGTTCCGAGACGAGGGAGCGAGGAGATGGGATGCGCTCCCCGCTACAACACCGCTGCATCCAAAGACTGGGAACGAGTCATCTCCAGTGAATGAGGACAGGTCCAGTAACGCAGAAACCGAGTATGCACCTGATTTCCTACAAAACCTCCGGTTCCTTGTCGAGAGTGGAGAGGAGGAGGAGGAAGAGGAGGAGGTGGAGGTGAGTTTTGTGGTTGTGGTATTATTTTTTTACCTCCACACAGAATGTATTAAAAGACGGATGGATTGGTTGAGGGGATGAACAGTCACGTTGCCCAATACGTGCTGTGGAGCTGGAGCGCGGAGCCGCAGCCAGCCGACGTCAAGGAGTGCGTGACTCTTCAGATCTCATCTGTATGGGAAGCAACACGCAGCGTCAAGCAGACCATGTGAAAATGCAACTGTTGGAAAGGAGAGTGGGTAAAAAAAAATAAAAAATAAAAAAGGCTGTAATTTATCATTCAGGAGAAATGATTTTTATCATTTTTTTAAGACAGTGCAGGAACACTATAAAACCAGAGTCGTTTCGTACTTAATTCTCAGATCGACCAGCCCATTCTGATTTTATGGGTAGTTCAGTCGCGGCTGCCTTGAAAGGCTCGAGATATTTAATGCATGCTAAACATGACCTCCACCCCACACACTAACAGACTCTCTCTCTCTCTCTTCCACTTTTCCGTTTTGACTCTTTCTGCACTGAACACAGTAGCCTCTGCATTCGGTTAATTTCTCGATTTATGTTGAGGTAGGTCATCTGATCTTATTAAACAGCCTCCTACTGTTCACTTGCATCAGAGAGTACAGTATATCGTATACTGTATGGATCGGTGAAGGACGGCTCATTCATGGTCAGTGGGGGTTCGTGTCTGGTGGCAATATAAGGGACAACAGAGTTGTTACACTCCGACTATTAGCAGGTGTTCCAATTAAAAGTGACTGCCAGGGACACGTTTGTTATCTGAGATGTCTTGCTGCACTTGCTACACTTAATAAGGTATAATGTAAGACTGTGCCCTTTTACAGTCGTGTTTTGGATCCCTGCCCTGACATTGGTTGTTTAAGTTATTTATATGTAGTTACCAATACATATTTCTAAAACATTTTCCAAATTAATTATATTCTAAAGTGTAGGCTCTCTTAAGACATAAAATGTTGCCAGACCTGTGCAAATATTGTTTTAAATCTGGAATTCCCCTGTTTTTCTCTGAATCTTTCTTTTAGGAGCATATTGTGGATTAAAAAAAATGCGGTCTTCTTGTTAAACAGGAAGCCCTCTGTCCCAGAATCAGGTTGCGCAAAGCGACTGTGTAAACGTGTTACACATCACCAGGCTGGCAAAATTATTTTGTCAGCGAGTGCTGAGCTTCAAAAGGGTGATTCATAATTTTAAACACACCAAGTCACCGTGTCATTAATTAAAATGAGTTGCATGTATTGTATTTGAATTCGATATGCAACAGATGCCGTGCTGCTGTGGTTAATCTTCTATTTTTAATTTTAAAAATACTAAGCGTTTTATGGAAAAAAAAGGATAAATCTATAAATCATTGTAAAAGCCTTTTTGTCATTACTTTTATATCAAGTTCAATAAATGAACCTTTTTTCCCCCTCTCACAGCACTATACAATTTCATTAACATCTTGTGGGTCGTCACCTCATGTAATATACATTGGAAAAACAACATACTGTATCCATGTTGTTGTATTTTAATAAAAATCTAAGAAAAGTTTAATTGGAAAAATATTTCCACAGAAGTTAAGCTTTAATATTTCTTACACATCCAGTGTATCTTCCGTTTTCCAGACCCACACATAAACTGTCTTCTCTTGCAGCTCTTGTTTCGCTGCATGCTTCTCCAGCACTCCAAGGCTCTTACACACTCAATGGCAGCCAGTCTAACAATGTTGACTCCTCTCCATTACCATTTCAACATCAAAAGAAGAAGCATGGCTTAAAAAGAAGTCTTTCAATTATGCTTCAGAAGCAATAATTTTAAAGCAAAACAAAACTCTTTGTCAATGGTCAGCGATAGCATATTGAAACCCCATCTTTTCATAGGCTCAGCCCAGCTTTGCCTTCAACACTGCTGGGAAGAGGAGACATTAGAATAGTGGTTTGCAGCCGGACGTGTTGTCGTTCAACCACTAGGTGGCGCCTTCCCAGGCCGCAAGAGCAGGGAGCGCAAAGCCCGCAGTACATGAGTATTTCAAAGAAGTCGTTAATTGTCGTGACCCCGTGGAAGGTTACGAAATGTGGTCCGCCGAATTTAACCGATCCGCAAATCTGAATTTAAAAACCACACGTAAACAGACTATTTTCAGACCGAAGACATGTACCGCTCCGAATTTTTCTGTACGTTTTCTTTAAAGATTTGCGAAATTTTGCAAAAGAAAAAAACTAGTTAAAAAATACGCCTTTTTTCTTGTAGGTATACCAAACGTTCGCTGCTGGAGTGTCAAGGTCATGGTCTGTTACATTTAGCATACTGCATGCATTGAGGATTTTAGGCGATTGTGCTTACTTTACATTTTTTAAATTAGCATTACAGTATGTTATTGTGCATCAATAATCATTTTACATTATTACAATAAGGCTGACATACAAAACTAGAAAGGCATACAGTGCCGTTGCAGCAAAAAAAAGTTGCTAAGTGCGTTAATGCACAATGCAATTTTTCCTGATGAATTCGCCCCTTTTTCATTATGCAAATATATCTTGGGGAGTGGGAGGGTGGATAATTTTAAAGCAACATGAGCTTGCCGACTTTATTTCCCTGAATAAATAAAACCCAGAGGTACAGCTCTCTTCTTTTTCCAGCAGACAGAGAAACAATTAAGTTCCAGGAGCCTGCTCACAACAGTCAGTACATATTACATTTGTTTCTCTCTTATTACTAGGAGAAAGCGGTGCGATGTGTATTGCTGAGTACGTAGCAGTTGTGGTTGGAGCGCGCTCTACTGGCAAATATGAAAAATGTCAGGTATAATTATCTGGTAAAGGAACATGCTGCAATTGTGTAGGCTTGTTACACTATACTGTATTCAATTATTATTGATCTGATTGGGTTATTCATAATAGGTAATATATGCTAGATATAATACTGATAAGTGAAAATATTTGCATGATCAATAATCCTAGCATCTGAGGTATAATATTTAAACAGGTTAAATATTTTGATGAAGTCCTTTATAGTTCACTAGGATTAACAACACCCAAGATGTAAGTGCACTGAAAGGGTTATGAAGTGTTTAGTGAATTTGGCTTGGCTGAGGGCTGACCTCCTAGTGAGGGGACCAGGAGTCAGAGACCCCCATGTAAAAAGGGGGAGTGACCAAGCAGGAGCTGTAGCTGTGGAGATGGGTTCAGAAAGATGCACGCAAGGGGGGAGGGGATAATGTACCAGATTCATAATATTCTAGGTGAGGAAATGACATCAGGAGTGAACTTGGCTGTTGTCGTTCATTCCAAACCTTCGTTCTAAACTCAATTTTTGTTGCACAGAATTAAACTCGAAAACATACAGTAATGGTTTTTAAAAGGTTAATATACTGTTTAACCTAGTGAGGCTTGATTTTTAAAACAGTTCTTGGCAAAAGATTACAAAGACTACACGTTTTTAATAAATATGATGCACATTCAAATCTTTGAGTTTTTGCACATAAAGCACTAATAATTGCATAGAAGTACAACTTGACAACATTTTTATTATTGGAAGAATTCAGGTATGCATTTCCAGCTTGAAGTAATATTAAAATCCCCATCTCTCTGGCAGGAAAATGAATGTTTTTAATAGCAGTGAAACAAGAAAATTGTTCAGTAGCTGCATTCAGTATGAACAGATCAAGTATTGGCAGTAGGACAGGATTATGTATTGTATTATTTTTTGTTTTCTTTGGTTTTTATCTTTTAATTCTTTTTTCACTTCCCAATATGAGGAACCTTGGGACATTAGAAATAACATTTTTCATCTCTTTGCAGATGAGTCCCTAGACATACTATCTGATGGCAGTGTTGGTTTGAAAAGAAAGAGATATCTCAGATTTTAATGACAACAGGGCCCCCAATAGGCCATCAGTGGACTGATTTGAGACAGGGGTACCTCTAGATCTTGGGTGCCTTAATGTAAGAAAACACTTCCATCCCCCTCCCTTGTTTTCATTTGCCTTCTTGTTGCATCTTAGTCTATTCCAAGACTGTGCATCAGTATACCATAGCTGTTTTCACAATGCATTACTATCTTCACCCTAGGAGTATGAATTAATCTGTGACGGTATTCAGCCCCTCTGAATCACAAATCACATTACCTTGGCTTTGGAGTACTTTGCACGTTTTCTAGCATTCTCTCTTCAAATACAAAATGGACCAATCAGCTCCATGATTTTCACATCCTCCAGGCTTTGCCAAGCATTAATATACTCATTGAGCAGCTGGGTCTGGTGGTGTATATCATTACCACATTTTTATTGACATGGAAATACATTGGCAGTTCAGGAATTCATCTTACACTGCAGTCTAGTGTCAATCATTTACGCTGCGGAATCTTGTAATTTTACATTATGTCCAGTTCATTATTTTGAAAGACAATGATGTTACATAACAGAAAAGGCTTGTTTTATTTTAACTGAAAATGGAAATTAAAACCTTTGAAACACAGCACAGCATGCTGTATATAATCCCTAAAAATGTAAAAACACCTTCTTGGGATTTACACTGTTAATAGCCCCTTTCTGCTGTTCACAATGCTTCAGTTGGGATAAATTCTTAGACAGCACAGTTTTCAATCTCTTGGAAGAAGGAGAGCCAGTCTCCTGAGATATCCCTTACTGTCTTCATTCCCGTTTTCTGTTTGGGACCTCAAACAAGCATTTTGATCACCCACGGATAACAAAATAGCATTACTAAATGACAGCAAGCCTCAGGGTCAATTGCAGTACACATACAGAAATCTTCACACATCTGCAATCAATAGGGGGTATATAATGAGATGATCATGTACAGATGCTGCTGTGCAAGCCCTGAAGGGTTAAGTAGCTTCTTTCTTCTTTCATTATTTAAATCAAAGAGAACAATATTGCTTCCAAAGGCATGGGTTTTGCGAAACTGTCAAAGCTTGCAAGTCAAATGCTACTATAAAGCGCGTTAGTCCTTGGTACTCACTCTATTTATTAAAGACTGCTGGCAGGATGGTTGCAATTCAGCAACTTTTGACATATACATTTATATACAGCAGGAACATGCAGAATCTAGACTTCAGCATTCTACCTTTAGAATAAATCTAGAAAGATTTGTTTCCGATATCTTCGTTTATTGAAGGAAAGTTCTTTCTTTGTAAAACTTGTTTTAATTACAGTAGAATGCAATTCCTGTTTTATTGTAGTATTTGATTCTGATAGCATTCGACTAGTAAATGCAC